TAAGCTTTCGGGCTTACAGTTTCAGTTTATTGTTTCAGTTACATCAGGGGATCATGGCAAGGTAAAGGTGTGATCGTACAGCTCCTCCTGTTATGTTTATGTTTCTGGGAAAAACTCTGATAATTAATATTTTGAAAACAAAGTTGTAATGTTTTGATGAACTTGACATGTTTTATAAAGTTTAAATTGGTTTGAAATTATAGGTGTTACACCAAGCTCCACTCATCACCTATTAACTAAATAGTGAGTAATCTTAAATACAACCCAAATACCCAAAATACACTTAGGTGAAACTTGGTCAAATTTTGTTCAAAGTCAAACAGTCAAACTTGGTCAACATCGCTAAGTACGTTGGATGTATCAGCCTGTACGCGGGGCCTACTCATCCCTTGACCAAAAATGTGAAGCTGACCTAGTACGCTCAATGTACCAATTCGTACACCCAACATACGCAAAATTCATTTAATCCTTATATTAAGAGCTTATTCCCTTAAGCTCTTTCATCCCATTCTCATATTTGACCCTAAACTAATGTCCTTAAACATAAAGTTTTCAACTTTATAGTATTGCATGGACATTAAGTGCCCAAACACAAAACTCTAACTAGTTAACCCATTAAGACCTTGAAACTCCCATGGAAGGAATCTAACAATCAGGATTACAATTTTTTTCCTTCTAGATGCTTCAAAATGTCTAAAAGGACAACTTATATGGATTAGATTAACCCATACTCATAAAACCAAGCTTATGGGGCCAAAAGAACACCATTCCATAACTAAATAAGATCTAAACAACTCTTAATCAAGTTCAGAGATTTTTTACCTCCAAATGATGTTGTTATTCTGGATCTAAAGAGTCCCACTCCTCCAAGATGATATTTTCTTCTTCCTCTCTTCTTCAAGGTTACCCAAACACACACAAAATGCTCAAGAATACTCTAAAAAGGGTTAGGGTTTGCTTGGGGATGAAAGTGGATTGGGGGGTGATGAAAGAAGGCAAGTTGGGGACTTAATGGTGCTTAACTAGGGTCCAAGCCCTAAATATTAGGGTTTAAGGTTTTGGCACATACGCCAAATGTACACTATGTACGCCCAACGTACGCGAGCTTCGCTTATAATTTACAAAAGTGCCACTATGGGCAAACACTTCTCATACACAAAGGCTGACATGCAAATAATCTTCATACTTAGGGTTTAAAATGAAAATACCTCAATATCAAGATGTTATATTTTCAGAATGAGATAATTAAACTAGAAAAAAAAACATAGATGAAGATAAAAAAGGGTAGAAAATGGAGGCCAACAGAGATCAAGAACTTGACGCAACATTGGTAATGATGTCGAACCACTGAATCTGCACGCAACGATGAAAATGGCAGTGATGAATAGATCTTGATGCGATAACGGTGACGATGGATTTAGCATTTAGAACTATATGCAAAGGTGGTGGGAAAGAACTAATGGTCCAACAAGACGACATTGAAAGATGTCGTAGAAGGCAACAAAGGTTATGATGGTTGTTTATATGAGAGACGTTTTATTTAGGAGGATAAAGAGGAAACGAGATTGGAGAACCGGGGGGGGGGGGGGATTTATGCATAATTATGGTACCTCCGATGACTATTTGAGAAGGTCATCGTAGGTGTTGGGTGGCAGTTAGGGGTTGTGATCAGTAGGGTTTTAACCTGGAGCTCCGATACCATGAAAAATAATAGATTTATTTATTGATTATTCAAAGATAAGTACATAATGTAAAGATAAAAATTATGTTGCCAGGAATTTTTATAGATAAAAAAAATTATGTTGCTAGGAATTTTTATATTATACTTAAAGCTCAAAAACTAAAACTTTAAAAGTACAAGTATTACTTAGAACACACTTCTTTATTAAAATACCGCGGAAGCTTTGATACAATGGTAGTGGTGGTGATTGTAGGTGAATGGATTCGATGATCTCAAACTTAGAACTTATGCCCTTATATAGATGGGCTTACAAACTATTAGACAAGAATAAAAACGTAAGCAATGACGTTTAAACAAGGGCCATTATTTAATTTGTTGCATGTGACCGACAATCTTGATAATTATAAAGATACTTTTAACAAGTGGTGGGGATTTCTTGAAGACTTCTAAACATCCAAACAACTCAACTTTTGAAAACCCGTAATATGTGAAATAATTTCACATACGGGCACTTCTAGCTTTTGGATAAAGGTATGGATCCATGGGACGAATTAATTTTATCGTTTTTAGACAATAATCATCCCACCCATATAGAAAATACTCAAACCCTAATTACTAAACCTTAAAAGGCTTGGGCCTAAGCCTTAATCACTAACAACTTAAAATTAGTTTATGTGATTGTTATAATTTATCATATAGTAGATCTTTATCTTTGTAGGTTGGTGGTTTTTCTCCGATTTTAGAGTTTTCCACATACATTATTGTGTTCAACGTTTTTCTCTATTATTGGCATTGGGATGATTTTTAGGGATCTTTATGGCAATTTACCAACAATATTGATTAAAAAAAAGCTAAGTCTTCCCCCAAGGGACAACCACGTCGTGGCGAACTTATTATGAAAGACATGCGGGTGTAAAAAGACAGTGGAATCCGTTGAAGCATTAAGAAACAACACAAGGTTATGCAATAATACTCTTTCGATTTCAAACACCATCATCCGATATGAATTAGATGAGCCATAACAACATATTAGTGAATGATAATAAACGCATAAGAATTAAATGTTGCATAGAACAATGTGATGAAGATCCGAAGAGAAGAACAAGGTGATGAATAAACAATTGCGAGGAGCATGAAGCATATGTGAGTTATGGTTTTTTTTTTCTAGCCATCTATGTACAAATAATTAAAAAAGCTTGTATCCCAAAAAATATTTACCTACATGTGTATGCCCTACAACAAAATGGTATTACTGAAAGAAAACATAAACAACTGTTAATGTTGCTCGATCATTATCATTTCAAATTGGGATTCCTCTTAACTATTGGGATGATGTTGTACTTTGAGCAACAGATCTTATTAATTGTACTAGAGCTTTTGTTTTAAAACCGAAAACCCCATTTGATATGATTTATGGTAAAATACCTTATTTGAGTCATTTACGTCTTTTTGGTAGCCTTTGCTTTGCTATAAAGTTAAATGTACATGATAAATTTGAATCAAATATATGTTTCTAGTTTTAAAAGGGATATAAATTGTTGACTTTGGAAGATAATACAATTTGTTTCTCCATGCATGTGAAGGTTTACGAACATAATTTTCCATTCAACATGTTGCACGGATCACCTAACAGAGAGACTATTTATGATCAAAGTCATTCAATATGTTTTTTGATAACATTGTCACTTTGATTCTTGATGATGAAATCTTTAGTTTTAGTCATGGAATTGATCCTTGTGTAGGTGATCCAAATACTTCTGCTAAAAATGAAAATTCAGAACTTTGTAGTCATGGTATAACAACATTACATTTTGACAAGTCCAATGTCGATGACTCAAGTGTAGACTCAATTTTTGACTTTGAATTCTCAGCTGAGAATTGGGTTGATGCCACGAATAAAGGGATGGACACTCTTTATCGCAATTAAATCTGGATAATTATTGATCTTCCTCCAAACATAAAACCAATTGGTTGTAAATGTGTTTTCAAAATTAAATATAAATCTAGGAGGGAAGTAAAGTGTTATAGGTTATTCACAAAAAGAATGGATTGATTATCATGAGATTTTTTTTGCCTTTTGCTAATTTTGTTACACTTAGATTTTTACTTTCTCTTGTTTGTTTGTAATGGATGGAATTTATATCAACTTGACATAAATAATGCATTTTTATATGTTGAAATTTGCATTATGATTATTTTTCAAAGGCCGATTCTAAAGTTTGGAAGTTACAAAAATCGTTATATGATCTAAAACAACACCCTAGAAAGTGAAAGGAAAAAGTAATTTATTTCTTAAGTGAATATAGGTTTTGTCAAAGTAAGATTGATTACTCACTATTTACATTAACAAAAGATCAAACTGTTTTATTGCTCTTTTAGTATGTGTTGATGATATAATATCAACAGGATATTTAGATCATGAAATTGAAAATGTTAAATCATCTTTGAAAACAAAATTCAAAATCAAAGATTTGAGTATCGTAGAAAAGCAAAAAACATGCAACAATCTAAGATCTTCCACTATAGGCTTTGGCTTCTGTAAATTTTTAATTACTTTGGATTGTAAAACTATTAAAGAATTTGAGTATTAAAGATCAATATCCAGTTGAAATTTCAGGTGATAACAATTCAACAATTCAATTGAGCTTAAATCTTGTATTTCATGATAGGACCAAACACATTTAAAATAATGTTCATTTGGTTAGAGAAAAGTTTTTAGATGAAATTGTCAAAATAAAGAAACTGCATCAAAGGAACAACCAAACAAGTTGCATATATTTTTACAAAATCACTAAATTGGGGTTCAACACTCTAATTTATCTACAAATTAAAAATGTTTGATCCATTTCAAAGATGAGTTTGAAGGGAATATTAAAGATTGATATACACACCATATCAAATCTTATATTTTCTATATTTTTTATTGTCTTAAATACATGTTTATTTCATTTAATATTTTTCCTATAACATATTGCAGTTAAATATTTAATTGGTAAGATATTATGGGTTAAAGGTTATATTGGGCTAAGAAGGTGGTGTTTAATGGGCTAAAAGCAAGCATTGAAATATGGAGCTTGATCTGCTTTTTGAAGAGTATTTAGATACAAAATAGCATTTATGTGGTTATTGCTCACAAATAAATGAATAACAGAGAGATAAATGTTCAATATTTATTTATAAAAAACAATATTTTTGTTTATGGTAGATGAAATGAATTAATCAAGTTAAAATTGTAATGATATCAATAGAAAACAAATTGTAGCATTTACAAAACAAACTGACCACAAAATCCAGTAAAAAATCCACAAGAAAGAATTATCTAATGTTTACTAAAATGACTCTTTGGTGTTCCCCATGACGTCATACCTTCGTCAACACCACACCTCACCACCGCTTCCGGCGACTTGTCAAAATTAACCGACCGAATCATCACCGTCGGCTTTGTCGCCGGCAAATCTGGAAGTAACCCACCTTGCAGCATCCGCATCGCCTCCTTCATGGTGGGTCTCATCTCGTAATTTGGATGAACACATATCAACCCAGCCATTAACATCATCTCCATATCCATCCGATGAAATCTCCCCATCAAATTAGGATCTGCAGCAGCAACCAATTCCTTATCCTCCCACAAATCCCACACCCAATCAGTCATCATTGTCCCGTTCTCATCCACCGGCCGCCGCCCTGAAGCCACCTCCAGCACCAACACCCCAAAACTGTACACGTCGGTTTTCACAGTCGGGACGCCGGAGTAGACGTATTCAGGAGCAAGGTAGCCCATTGTGCCCGCCGGAACCGTCGCTTCCCTCGCCCTCGAGCTATGCTCGTAAAGCTCCGCCGTTCCGAAATCGCCTAATTTTGGAGTGAAATCAACATCCAACATTATGTTACAGCTTTTTACATTCCGGTGGATGATCGGACGTTCGCATTCTTCGTGTAGATAGATCAGCGCCGATGAAACTCCGAGCAGAACGTTCAATCTCGTTCCGAAATTCAATCTACTGGGAGTTATTCGAGTGTGAAGAATCTTGTCGAGTGATCCATTGGGCATGTATTCGTAAACCAGGACTAATTCGTTTCGCTCACAACACCATCCTTGAAGCTGCATTAGGTTTTTATGGCTTAACGAACCCACCATTGTTGCGAATTCTGCAGCGAATTGACTCCCAAACGATCCTGTTTTGGTGGGTTGGCGAAATCTTTTCACGGCGACGTTACCATACGGCGGAAGATTGGCTTCATACACAGTTGCAGAAGGTCGTTGACTGATGATTTGATTCCTGCTAAATCCTTTTGTGGCTGATCTGATTACAGAGAGTTCCAATCTTCTGGGCATTTTTTTCTCCTGAAATGTACGGATTTGTCCTTGTTCAATGAGATCTGGCATCTGATTTCTTCTTTTTAATACACACATGTAAAACACTACGAAACCCACAGTTAAAAGAATCAAAATCAGATTGAGAGCTAATAATCCAACAGCTAATTGAAACACCCTTTTGTCTTTATGATGATTATTTGGTAAGCCCGTTTGGTGTTCTTCTTTCACAGGAGCCACCGGAAAACATATGAAGCAGTTTCCCGGCCCAACTGCGTCAATGTCGATGATCGGAGACATAGATTCCAACGTCTTGAAATACCAACTTTCGATCAAATGTGTTGCAGATCCTCTTCCATTAGCAGCAGAGAAACCCACATACATATAACCACTGAATCGCTTTGAAAGATCGATAGGTGATACGAGAATGGGGTTTTCAGGTTTGGTCTGGGTGTACCCGACCCAAATCTGGATGATCTTTTCTGGGTTTCTGTACTCAATCCAAGCTGTTATCTGTTTCCCACTCTTCAAATTGATCCCATTTGTCATTAAATCCACCGAAGCTACAGAAACAATGGAATCCAAATCAACCCCAACATGATTGTCGTTGATATCATCAAGACCCTGGTCAAAATTGGTGTCGAATTCCACAGCCAAGAACGAAGAATCAAGTGTTTTCAGATCGATTGGTTTAGGTAAACCAAGAGACCCAACTGAGCGTGACAAGGAGTTTGAATCCGACGTGATCAAGAACGCAATTCCTTCGCCGGAGAGACAGGGAGGCGGCGGAGGGATGACGGTGAACGTGAAACGGGTGAAGAAAGAATCGGTGGAATTGAATGAAGAATCAAGAAATCGAATTGGGTGTTTGTAGAATACTCTTCCGATGTTTGAATCTGGTGGATTTGAGATACAGTTATTGTGATGATGAGTGAGCGTGATGGAGGTCTGATTGAGAATGGTAGTGCCGAACATGGTGAAGTTTAATGGTGGAGTAGGAGGTGATGATGAAGTGAAGGTGAAGAAGAAGATGAAGAGAAATAGGAGCTTAATAATCATATTATAATGGAATGAAGAAGATAGAGTGCTTATGGAGGGAGAAATAATCGATGATGCAAAAAGTATGAACTGTAGGAATATGAACAGGAATAAAGGGGCGTCGAACAAGATGATATTCGAGTCGCAACAGAGAGACTTCTGGATTCATTTTTCAAAATCAATTTTGAATAAGACCAACAAGGGGAAAGCTGAAGCGGAAACCTGCAACAAAAGTTTGGACTTTGGAGGGAAATGGAAAAGAGAAATATATATATATATATATATATATATATATATATATATATATATATATATATATATATATATATATATATATATATATATATATATATACTATCAGTGTACCCGCGCAAAGCGGCGGATCGTGTAAATTATTTCGGTGATATGTTCCATCTACAAAAATGTTATGTTACAAAAGAAAGTACATGTCGAAGACAAAATAATCAAACTATGGTGTTATTTGGGAAATAAAGTCATTTTTTGTTCTTGGACGGTGGGCTTTATAGCAGAGGAGGGAGCAAAGAGGTATATGCGATTGGAGGGATATTTGAATCAACATGCTAAATTGAAGGATATCTAAAAGGGTTCAAAATTTGAATGAATCCGAGATTTGAGGGAACATATCAAATTGTTGAGAAATATAAAGAGATTTGATGATAAATATTTGAATTCAAAATATAATTAAAATTTAATATTATTTTATTAATGATTACTTGTACTATCAGCTTTATCATTTGGACGTCTTAAAAAATATTATTATTATAATCAATCTATTTTTAGAAATAGTTAGATTTCTTTTATAAGATAGTAAAGATATATATATATATATATATATATATATATATATATATATATATATATATATATATATATATATATATATATATATATCATCAATATTTTCTCTAATTACAATAATAAGGCAAATTGCAGGAAAATTGAGTAATCTAGCTTTTATAAAAGGATATTTTAATAATAATAACCGATTAAATTTGTTCCGTAAAATGATAATTTTCTCTTAAATAGCATTCTTTTGTAGGAAAAAATGAGTAATCTAATTTTTATAAACGTGTATTTAATTAATAATAATCAATTTAAATTTGTTTATGTAAAATGATCATTTTCTTCGGAACATAGTATTTTAGAGCCAGGGTATTTATTTTGTAGCTTTGGTCCGTAATAAGAATATTCATACATTTCGGACTTACTTTCCAAAGTACCACTGTTTGAAACAAGAATCTATGTACGATTGTCAGGTCCATATTTTGAAGCGATAATATGGAGTCACGTACATGTTCCGGACAGTTAATTTGGAATAAAAAAACATTAATTTTCGTCCCCTATATATAAATGTTCGACGCTTACTTCGGATCATTCGTAACTATCTTCTATAATTCCTTCAAGACGAGTTTCTCAAAGAGTGAACACTGATATTGTCATAAATATACATACTTTTAGGCAATATTTGAATATATATATATATATATATATATATATATATATATATATATATATATATGCATATTTTGATCATTTGCATAGATAAAATGGTACTTATAAGATTAAAAAGATAAAACCCACGAAAATAGCCAACTCCACGTCGTGGTTATCACCTACACGACGTGGAAAGGAAAATTCTGAAAGATAATTGCACGCAAAGTCGAAATCCTTGGCAGATAAGGAATCATCTAAGTCCACGACGTGGAGCCTTATTCCACGAGGTGGAATGTAATTCCATGACAAGTATATATATATATATATATATATATATATATATATATATATATATATATATATATATATATATATATATATATATATATATATATATATCATTATTATATACAAAAAGCCTTTTTGCTCGAGAAGTCTTCGTGCATCTCACGCATGCCTCTTTTTTGGCGCGTGAAAAGAAACCCGACTATCTTCCGTGAATTTCAGTCGCCTATTCTACCGCTCCTTCCACCAATGCATGTCGTCCACGAAAAGAGACATGTGGCTTTCTCCTCACTCTTCTACCTTTCTCGATACACACAAATGCAATCCATAAGGTTCGTTTCTCATTTGATTTCCCATTTTTCTCTTTTACTTTGACATCCATGGAGAAAACTTTCCTCCTCTTGAATCTCCGTTTCTTGGTGTCCTTTCATACACCCAAGTTCACCGCTGGACATATGATAGGATTGTTCCCATCCATGGTGATTTACAATCTATGTACAGATGAAGAACGTAAGCCAAAAGACAGTTAATGAAGTATGAAAAAAAAAGCTTTCGTTAATCTCATCATCATCATCACATCTTTGATTTCAAACAAGAACACAAAACACAAGAGCTACTAACTATACTTCAATTGAATAAGTAATTTCCTCTTTCTTTCATGTTTTTCTTTCGATTTTGTATTAGGGTTTCTTGATGTTCAAAACCCGAATTTTTGTTTTTTAAAAGTGAATCAAATGTGGGAATTTGTTTTCATTTGTTTTTAATTGATATGATTTTAGTTGTAATCTTCATTTTAGCCAAACGATTATGTTAAATATATGTTAAAAATGAATTGCGGATCAAATGTTAATTGAAATAGGTGTTGATTGATGTTCTTGTTGCATTAGATGTAACCTTTTATTTGTTTTGGTATAGAAATTACCGATTTCCTCTTCTCTTTTTCTTCTCAACCACAACGCTAACTGTACACAGGTTACCATCTCTCTTCTCTAGCTTGCTTAATCTAAAGTCACACACATGCTTTAAGAAACCCACAATCTATCACATCACCACAGATTCTCTTTGTAATTGGACTCCAAATGTTGAATCTGACAAGTGTTTTCTTTTGATTTGTAAAATTATCGATATTTAGGGATTTCGTAAAAATTTTTGTTGTTCTGTTTTTTATCCCAGCTTCCATATGTGAACAAGGAGTCGGAAGTATCAGAAGGTGATTGTTTCAACCGGTTATTGGTTGACCTGCTCCAGTCTACTTGCCTAATGCAACTTTTTTCCAGATGAATTTCTTTCCAAGAGTTGAGTTAATGGTACGATTTCTCAATTTAATTTTTTTGGTTGTTATCTTCACCTATTAGATATTCCACCTTCTATTTTAGAAATAGAGATAAATGTCTATCTAGCCCTGAAATGGGTGAGTTATGTCCGATCAAATTCCTTTCTCCTCCTTCATTGGTTCACAAATTAAAGATAATAATTGAAGTGCCACCAGAGTTAATTGCATCGGTTAGTCCCAATCTAACTTAGGGGTGTGCTACTATTCATAATATGTTTGTATCGTTTTCAGTTTCTTGAATCAATTTCATTTTCAAGTATTATTGACGGTGTTTTTGCATCGACGTGGAAGGAGAGTCATGAGCTTTTTTTCGATACTAATTCTGGAATCCCACGCCATCAATTTGATGTATTTGGGAAGCCAATGTTTGCTGTTAGTTGAGTTTTCCATATGTAATATATGTACAATTGCTTCCTACTGCTTTCATGCTTTCTCTACCCAAAACCAAAAAAATCCATCCACATCTCCCTTCCTAACCCTAATTTTTTTTTCTGGGAATCTTCTTCTTGCTTAGCAGCAGTGCCCGCCCACAATTTTTCAAGAATTGTTGATGATTATGTTCAATGGGAACTTCTATTTTTGGCGTTCAAAGTGTATATATATGTACCTTCTTCATTCCTTTCTCAACAGTTGGGTTTTTCATCGGTTCCTGACCTAACCCCCATAAAGAGCAAAACAATAGACTAGGGTTATGGATGATTCCAAGATTAACCAAATCAGCCTTCCTTCGGGCTGGCAATCCTAGCTTCCATAGCCCATCGCTAGATTTCTTCAAAACATTTCTCCAAAGGTATAATCACCTGGCTTATTAAATATTATACCATTTGAGAATTTAATGTCTGTAGTCTACATGGATGCTCTTTTTGTTGAAGAGTTAATTTGTTCAATTCAAATAATAGATGTGATGATGATTTTTAAAATCTAATTTGGCTTTTACACATATTACTCTTTATCAGCTCAGGTGTAGGAAGAGATCTCACATTGTTGTGGATTACACTCCCCAATTACATCTTAGCAATTAGCATGGTTCCTAAACCCATCAATTTGTTGTGCTTTCATTAGCAACTTTTTCCTTATCTACTCTTCAAAGGCTGGGATGTGCTTCTTTACTTGTTTTTGTAATTTATTTGTGGGTTTTCCTTATTTACTTCAAATTGAGTTGTTTCATTTTTAGTTTAGGTGAATTTTGTTCTATCCTCAATTTTTTAAAATGATATTTGATGAATTAAGTTTTTGGGTTTGGTATTGGGATTTGTTTGAAGTACATAGTTGATCAAGTAAAAAAAGGGGTTCAATGAATTAACTTTGACTGTTTACTGTTTTACTTTGTAAAATATGGTGGGATGTTGTTTAACTTCATTGATAATAGAAATTTTTCACAAGCTACATTTTTGTTTTTACTATTTTCTAGATTTCTCTTTCTACCTAATTAATTATATTGAGATGCACAAATTCTTATCCAATTTACATTGCTTATCATGCTTGAACATTGTGAAGCTCTAACTTCATTCATGATTTCCTTTTATCAGATAAACATACAACAAAAAGATTTAACTACCACTTCTATATAAGGAGGTACTTTGTACTGTGGGATGACATTACTATGCCTTTTTTATTAACGCAAATCAATGGCATCTATGTTATGAACTTATGATAAGATTGTTTACTACCAAGTGCCACTAATATTTTCTTTAAGACGAAAACATATTTCCATTTTTCCTAGAATATATAGGCTTCAATCAAGATTTCATTACGATGGAGCCTATTTTTATTATGTTATCATACTTTTTTGTGAAATGAAAACTTTCAAATTGTGTGATTCAAAGACCAATTACAGAACATGGTTGATTGATAATGAATTATC